CACTGACAGTACAGAATGCCATAGAAATTATACGATTTAAGGAGCTTTATATAAGCTATAAAACCTTCTTCAACCAAATTTAGCTTTTGAAATTTCACTGTGACATTGTAGCCTCATACATCCAGGCATGTATAGATTCTACTAGCAAACGCGGCAGTCAAATTCTTTCTAACAGTAAACAAATCCATGTTTAACCCTCCACTTGAGGGTCAAAACATTATCAGACACTTACTCTTCGCATGTCAGCAGAAAGTACATTTCATGGTCCTTTCAATAAAGCCATAAAAATGGTAGGTCACCGCTGAAACAAAAAAGTTTTTCAATCGCTCTGTCAGACCATGTCCTCAGAAAATGTCTAAAATCTGCCATGTGCCCCATTGCCCTTTGACCTGTGACCTCCAATTTCGGCACAGTGATGGCTTTTCCTACCATGATGCTATACACCGACTATCACGAGCCTAGGTTGAGCCATTTAGATTTGTGCCGCAATTCTGCATTTCCTCCCTATACCTTAAGTTAAAGAGGAAATGTTCCTAACTACAACTCTACACCTCTTGACCTTTGACCTTTGACCCCCAGCTTCGACACCCTACTCGTTTTCGGATTACCCCCCCACGTCCCGAATAACTTTGATATTTGTTTGCTTTTTCGAAACGCATTATAACTGTTGCCTACTGCCATCCTTGAGCCGCCGAGGCTACAGCCACAGGCACTTGAAACGTCTCGATAAAAAAATAAAAAGGTAAATAAACACGAAATCAAGAGCATATAAAAAAGGAGAGCGTACAACGGTAAAATGCTGAAACCATGTTGCAGTATTAGTCGAATTAATAAACTTTCCCCGTTTTATTTTGACGATTCTTTCCAGTATTATTGATCAGCTGTCCTACCTTGTTCATATAAAACAAACCGCATGTCCCTACGATGCCCCTACGCTGAGATAATGAGCGGTGAAAATCTGGTATTTTCGCCAAACACCGACTAGACATTAGTCAATACTGCGACCGACTCGCGTTCTGGCGATAGCTTCGGGAAACCTCGCATGTTTCCGTCATTCATTGACAATGAAATTTGTTTTCCTTCTACTATCTTTTCTTGCATTTCCAGTCATTGACGCAGCCACTACTCCACAAAAATTAAGCAAATCACAGAAATTCTTCAAATATACATGCGAAATGATCCTTCGCATGCTACCTTTGAAGAAGGCGGCAGGGCCGGCTGCGCTGATTGGCTGAAGCAAGTTTAATGTGCAGACAGGCTGCGCAACTACGCAAATGACTTGCTGGCAGTTGCTGCAGCCAATCAGCGCAGCCGGCCCTGCGGCCTTCTTCATAGGTAGCATGCGAAAGATCATTTCGCATGTATATTTGAGGAATTTCTGTGATTTGAGCGCATTGTGGCGGGCCGATTGTCAAAAATGGCGGGTGTAGCTTGTTCAGCAGTCTTCCGCGATTCCAACGATAGTTGGAAAGCGGCGTCACCTGCAGGAACACCGGAGTTGTAACCGATTGAAAACGGTGAGTTGTGGTCCGTGCGGCGGCGAGTTAGGCACCATGTATGATGTAGATTGTAGTATATATATAGTCAATGGCGGCGTGTGTGCTGTAGCTGGTGCGGACTTGTTCTTGCTGCCAGTGTCCTGGACATTAGCTCTAGTACTATAGCCCGCTTACATTAACTGCCGCTGGCAGCGCCGGCGGCAGCGGCCGGCCGGCAGCGGCAGTTAATGTAAGCGGCTATAGTACTACTACTAGAGCTACCTGGACATCATCTCTATCCTTGAACCGGAGAGGGCCATTTACAAAAAAACAACAAACATTGACACAAACCTCTAAACAGGCTGACTGGAGTGTCTATGATCTTATACAGTGTATGCCTAAAGCGATCCATTGGTGTCTCGTTGAGATCTGGCATTGTCACTGGCTCTTCTACTTGTACAAAATACAGAAATGTGCAAGTAGGATCAGTAATGAAATTCCGACGACCGTGAACACAATATGGTGCTGGACGTCCTGGTATAGACTGGTACTGGCTCCCACCTCGATTACTCGATGCTAATCCCAGAGTAGCTAAGCTGAGAGGTGGGACCGGGTACCAGTCTACGTCATCGTAGTGCTACATTCTCCCACTACGTGGCGCGCGTCCTGTTAAAGCATCAACTTCCGGCTAGTAGCGCCAGAAGAGAGCAGACCACTTTTAAATCCTCCATAGGATCATAGGATCCTACCTATACTTCAGCCAGAGCACTTAAATCAACTGATGATTTAAGGGCTTTTCTTCAACTATATCAGGAGCTAAAAATAGTAGTTCGACCATTTTCGGCCGAGTTGCACTATTAAAGCTATATAGCCATGTACTTCAGCTGTGTACGATGAGAACTTCTACTTCTACTTC